CATGGTTTTTTGGTTTAATTTGTAGTAAAACCATGGTTAATTTTCGTAAGGGAAGTGTTAATTAAACTATTTCTAAATGCCAAAATCACAGCATTCTATGTCCAGTACTTTTTTGGTAACTCTCTCGCTCTCTCAGGATTTCCCCGGTTTTTATATATATATTTATTTATATGTGAAAATCTAATGCACTAGTAGTTGCATTAATATGTTCTGGAGAGTGGTAGTTATAGTTCAGTAGGTGTACAGAATAATTTTAACTACAATTATAAGACTATCTTAACAAATCACACTTCGGTTCCTTCATTCATATGGAGTCCTGTAATTCGTTTGTTTGTTGCTGATTTTTTCCTTCTGCAATATTTTGCCAAGTAATTAATTCATGGTCGTTTTGCAATTCTTTTAACTTCATAGTCATTTTTTACAAATAATACAATTGTTAAGCATTTTTTTCTATTCGCAATTTGGTTTTAGAAATATTCCACCATTAACCTTAATTTTCTCATTATTTTTGCATATATTAAGCATTTTTCCTTTGTACAGTCGTTGCAGTTGAACTGCCACTACACTGTTGTTGACAATATAAAACTAGTGCAAAACCTTTGGTTAACTTTTCATTGGTCATTAGCCGATTTAAGATTGATATATCTATTCTAAATCTGGAAATTAGGCTGATTTGTGTGTTGATACTGAAGATACTGAAACTTCTACAGTTACTTTCCCACCCATGAAGTTGCTCTGCAGGTTGTTTCTTAGTGAGATAAGTATGAGGACACCAGTACAGACAATGAACTGGATTTGGAACGCCTTGTTGCCACTATCCATTAGACAAGCTTCTTCTCTTAATATTTTTAAGTCCAGACTAAAGACATTTTTATTTTCTAAAGCTTATGGCTGATGGGATATTTGTATGATTTTATCACTTTTCTGTTTGTTTGTTGTGTTTTTTTCTGTTTTTGATGACTTGCTGGAAAGCACATTGGTCAACGGAAGTTGTAATTAATGGTGCTATATAAATAAATTGTCATTGTCAAATTGTCATTCATTGGATTTAATGCACAAGACTACAAAATATGGATCATAGATGAAAAAATGTATAGTCTTTGATCATATTAAACAGAGCTGAGTTGAACTTTTTGGCTGTGTGAACGGTACAGAAAGGAAAGCAGTTGGATATAACAGACACCCTCTGACAGGTCTAAACACGAATGCACATTCAATGGGCAGAGAGGTATGATGGTTCATGACAAGATGATGAGTGTTT